AAAGTCAGAATTCTGAGGAAAATAGTCAGAATTCTAAGATTAAGGTCAGAATTCTGACTTTAATCCCATATTATACTAAAATAAAATTTAAGTCTGTTAACTTTCTTTTATTTTTTAGTGGCCCTAATCCTCTTTTGTATCATGCCCCCAAACCCTCCCCCCTGGTTAATAGATAATAGTTAAAAACCTTGAAGTGGGGGTCACCAAAACAAACAAACCTTTCCATGTTCTTCAGGAGGAAGCTAGAAGAAACAGTTTCTTCTGGCCGACATTAATACAACAACAACAACGTCTTTTCCCCCTCTCAGGTCTGTGTGTGAAACAAAGCCCAGTTCTGATGTCATCGTGTCCCAAAATCTGCCTTGTTGGCTGAATTGTGACCTCGGCTGATAGTCGCTTCCCTTTCCTCCCTCAGTGCGGTTCCTCTGCTCAGACGCTGCTCTGCAGTCAGGCTCGTTTGCGGCCTCCTCTCTTCCCCTTTTTCATCACACTCCCTGACTCTCGCTGTCTTTTCTCTCACAGTTCCGTCTTTTCGCGGTTCTGCAAATCCTGAACTGTGCAAACATTCCGACGGTGTAAAGAGTTTGATTTCAGCTGCTAAAGTCTGAGCTCTGGTGTTTTCTCTGTGTCCTCCAGGCGTCCCAGTGCTCGCCGTCCCATCCGTGAGTGGGATGTCTTCAGAGCTGCTGGTAGATCTGGGTGAGGACCCTGCGGCCGCACAGCTGGGGCAGCTGAAGCTGTCCACCCTGGAGGACCAGCAGTGGCCTCCTGATGAATCCACCCTCAGCAAGTCAGGTGAGACGGACGGAGCGTTGGTTTCCTGCAACACGGCGGCGTTTCACGCCCCTCCTTCCATCGATATCCATGCATCTCTCTACTCTCTGCTTCCCATCCAGGAAGCTTTTTCAATTTAAAAATATCAGAAATAGCGTTGAGTTCCAGGCTTTATACAGCAGCCCAACAAAGCCTTGATTTTATTTAGAAACAGATGAACGGGTCCATACAGAAGAGGATTAGAGCCACTGAAAAAATAAAAAAGGTTAACTGATTTTTCAGTTTAATATGGAGAAAAAGGAAGAATTCTGACTTTTTTTTCCCCAGAATTCCAACTTTAATCTCAGAATCCTGACTTTAAACCAATCAGATCAACGAAGCATATGAAATACTAACAGAGCGACGACGAAAACACAACCACAAGCCAGGCTACTCTTGCCGAAACCAGTCGGGAGAAGAGCAAAAACATCTTTTCCTCTGAGAAAAGCCTCCAGAGCAGTGTTTTGCTCTTCTTTCAGTGAAGAAATACTCTGTAATTCCCATAAAACTTGCTCGATAGCCACGCTAACGCTAGTTTCATCGGCTGAAGCCTCCATGTTCTTTAGACTGAACTGTCGCGCTTCTCGTTGCGTCACACCTCAACCCGCCTCAAAGCCAACGCTGATTGGACGTTCGTTTGGTGAACGGCTCCAAATTTTCTTTAATGGAGAGTCTCCAGACTGATCTGCGAGTGAAACCTTGAAAGCTTGCGAGATCAGGATGGTCTCACGAGGCTAACACATTGGTGGAAAATTACAGAATTAGGCAAGTTTTTCCGTCCCTGAGGGTCCCTGGTGATGCTATTTGATTAATGGAAGAGCAGAAGGTGATTAAAACAAGAGAGCTAGTCTCTAAAACAGACATGGCTACGGCTGGATGCTAACATGTTAGCTGTCAGAATTCCGTCAAAATTCTGAGATGAAAGTCAGAATTCTGGGGAAAAAAAGTTAGAATTCTGAGATTACAGTCATCGAGGACATCTTTTCTTTTCTTTTTTTATTACCAGATCTTATCTCATAATTACAAGATCTCTTCTCATAACTGCCAGACCGCTATGTCGTATTTACGAGATAAGATCTTTTAATTATCAGAAAATATCACATAATCACGAGATCTTATCTTATCATTACAAGATAAGATCTCGTAATGATGAGAAAAGATCTCGAAATTATATTTTCTCATCATTAGGAGATAATATCTCACAAGTACAAGATAAAGATACTGATCTCGTAATTATGGGCAGATTAGATCTGCATAGCAACACACTGAGGCTAAATTCTGATTGGACGAAAAATATAGCAACCAGATAAATGTAATGGAAGCGGCACAGCATAGAGAAACGCCACGAAATAAAGAGGACAGATTGTTTGGAATAAATGAATACATTTGGCAAGTAGAAAATATAAAGTTTAGGTTGACGATGGCGTTCCTCTAACCGCCCGTTTCTTTCCCCCTGCCTGTGTTTCAGAGACGGACTCCCAGGGCTTCGACCCCGGATCCCCCCACCTGCCCGGGAACCACCCTTTCTATGACATCGCCAGACATCAGATCATCGAGGTAGCAGGTGGGCACATTGGCGTGAAAACCACCGACCGCCGTTCCAGCTGAAGAGTCCGTAGAGCTGATGATGTTTGTTTTGTTTCACGCAGGCGACGATAACTTCGGCAGGAAGGTGATCGTGTTCAGCGCCTGCAGGCTGCCTCCTCAGCATCAGCTGGACCATCAGAGGCTGCTGATGTAGGTGATGATGGTGGAGGAAAGGTGTGATGGGTGAATTCTCTGCGCAGCAGCTGGCGGCCATCACTGGGTTCAGTTTGGAGCTCCAGGGTTTCCGTCCAGTGCTGCTCTAAGGATAGATGTGGACTGATGCTGAGGTGGTTTGTTTCTGGCAGGTATCTGAAAGCCACTCTAGATCAGTATGTGGAAAGTGACTACACCCTCATCTACTTCCATCATGGGCTGACCAGCGAAAACAAACCCTCGCTCAGCTGGCTGCGGGACGCCTACCGAGAGTTCGACCGAAAGTGAGTTTATCTAGCTTCACTGTGTCCACAGAACCTCCCTCCCAGTTAACACCAATGAAACACTGAGTTGGGTTAAACCAATCATAAGGAACTGTTGGGTCATACTCTGCTAAAGCTGCTGCCCTGTGTTCAGGGTGATATTAAACAGGAACCACTCTGTGATGGATTCAGGCCAATGCAGAAACGTCTGGAAATTAAACCTGCTGCTTTTGTTTCCAGGTATAAGAAGAACATCAAGGCTCTGTACATCGTCCATCCGACCATGTTCATCAAGACCCTGCTGATCCTCTTCAAACCCATCATCAGGTCAGTTCCTCGGTCACTGATGCAAACTAGATCCATATTTAAAGTGTTCACCACCTGATTCAATTCTCTTCTTCAATCTGATAATCAGCTTCCACCATTATTAACTATCATTTACAGCTAAAGAGGTCTTACAGCTCCTGTTTCATCAGCAATAAATGCCTAAAGTTTCCTCTTCCGTCTCTGACCAGCAGGTTTATGTTCAAACAAGAAACAGCAAAGATAGAAATCTAACAAAAGGAGCTGCTACTGTCATTAAGGCAACATTTTGCTGCCCTCTGCTGGCAGGGAGCATGTATTGCTCCTTTTGTTGAGTGTCTGAACTGCAGAACAGCACCTATACTTAAATCTACAGTGTAATAATAATAATAATGTTTTTTTTCCCCTAAATGTTATCCAAACCATGTCCCTCGTAGATCCCTGCAATAAAACACAATATAAACTTCAAGTGTTTGTATAAACGTTGATCCAAACCTTAGTCTGGGTCCAGGACTAAACCTTATTTCTTAAGCTTTTACTCCAACTGATGCCGGTTTTTCTTCCATGCTTGGCGTCAAAACCAACTTTAATCTTTATATGTTTAGAGAGATCATGGAGCACTGTGGGCTAATGCTAACAAAGAGGTAGATACTCTATACTAGATCTGGACTCAGAAAGCATGTGGGTATGAAATAAAGGGGTGGTGAGAGTAGTAATTTACAGTTTCACAACAAATCGAACTCAAAGACTCCCGCTAACACGTCTGTCTTGTAACAACCAAGCGGTCGGACCAATCAGATGCTAGCAGTGTTTTTTTGGGGGGCGTGACATGTAGGAATGACGACATGTAGGAATGACAACAGATCTACATTTCAGTAAACACATGGCACCTGTCATTCCTGGTGCACGTCTGAAAAGCCACGATTCGCTGCTACGATTGGCTGAAACTGTGTTATGGAAGGCAGGTACTAGCTGGCATGTCACCCAATCAGTTTCAAGTATTGCACTACAGTAGTTGCCATTCAAACTGTCCCCACTTTTCTTGATGGGCCCTTGGCTGGTCCTTGGCTGGTCTTTGGCTGGTCCTGGGCTGGCCTTTGACTGGTCTTTGGCTGGTCCTGGGCTGGCCTTTGGCTGGTCCTGGGCTGGTCTTTGGCTGGTCCTTGGCTGGTCCTGGGCTGGCCTTTGGCTGGTCCTTGGCTGGTCTTTGGCTGGTCCTTGGCTGGTCCCCTACAATTCCTTTTTAAACATCTTAAATATTCTTTCTGTCATTATTTTCGACATAAAGGTCTATAGAGAAGCACCATCTCCTTGTCAGACCCTGTAATTCAGTGAAAGTTTGCTCACATTTAGCAGCAGCAAATGCCAAAAAGAAATGAAGTGGATGTGAGATATCTGACAGGTTCCTGTGGGGGGTGAAGGGAAAAGAACACCATCCTTTTAAATTGTGACGCACTTCTAGTCCAGTTTAACGGTGAAACAAGGTTGACCCTCAATAGAACGCCCATTTAACGCCACTGCCTCTCTGTGTCGCAGCTTCAAGTTCGGCAGGAAGATCAACTACGTGAGCTACCTGAGCGAGCTGGAGGATGTGGTGAAGTGCGAGCAGCTAGTGATTCCGACCCGCGTCAGAGAGTAAGAACCGATTCCTTCCGGGGAGGAACTGAAAGTCCATGTTTGGTCTTATTCAGAAACGTAGACATTTGTCCCGTTTCATTGAATCTCAGGTACGACAACAAGCTGAGGGCATCTCTGAAACCCAGCACCCAGCCCCCTACGTCTCCCCCACGGAGCCCCCCGCTGCCAGACCAGGTCTTCGGGGTTCCCCTGTCTGTGTAAGTCAAAAACAAAACCTTCGCTTTCGGGGGCCAGCGGTTCTGGTTCTAGTCACGCCATTTCTGTGTTCTGCTATCCAGGCTGAGACAGAGGGACCCAGATGGTGATCCGGTTCCCGTAGTGATGAGAGACACCATCAACTTCCTGTCAGAACAAGGTAACGTTCCTGGCTCCCCATAGATCCAGGAAGTGAAGGCCGGTGTCTGAAACTCGCCTCATGTCCTCTGCTCTGTCAGGTCTGGAGATCGAGGGGATCTTCCGGCGCTCCGCCAACGTGACTCTGGTGAAGGAGGTCCAGCTCAAGTATAACTCCGGTACTACAGCCGGTTTTCAGATCGCCAAACGGTCGCTGCTTCTGTTCCGGTTCTAACAGTTCCCTCCCTTCTGGGCTGCAGGGGTCCAGGTGAGTTTCCGGGACATGGAGGACGTCCACCTGGCCGCCGTCATACTGAAGACCTTTCTTCGAGAACTTCCAGAGCCTCTGCTGACCTACCAGCTCTACAACGACATTGTCAACTTTGCAGGTAATTAAGGGGGAGGTTGCATGGGTCCGAAATAATCAGAGCTTTGATGTTTTCAGAACAGCAGAGCTCTGATTCTGACTCTGCATGATTTAACAGGAAGAGACCAGCTAGCTTAGCTTTTATTAGCCATGCCCACCTGGGATCGCTGTAATAGAACTTTACTGATGGTATGAAGTAGGCTAAAAGCACCAAAAGACACCAAGTGACTTGGATCGGTCTAGAATGGGTCACGTAAAAACCTGAAATACCAAAGTTACTCCAAGAGGGCATCCACTGATGATCCAGGAGGTGATGGAGGTGGGGCTCGGCAGGCCTTCGCCGTTTCTGTTAAGGTCAGAGGTCACCATCCAACAATCCAGAACCGCTGCTGACCCAGGAGAACACAAAGGCCCATTGTCTCGGTAAATACGAGACCAAAGAATGTACTGGAGGGCGTGGGAACCGACAGCCCCTCCCTTGGCTGCCACCTTATCGTGGTGGAGGGGTTTGAGTAGCCCAGTGATCTTAGCAGCTATGCTGTCTGGAGGCTTTATGCCCCCTAGTAGGGTCACCCAAGGCAGACAGGTCCTAGGTGAGGGACCAGACAAAGAGCAGCCTAAAGACCCCTTATGATTAATAAATTAAATGGACATTGTGTTTCCTCGCCCGGATGTGGGTCATCGGGGCCCCACTCTGGAGCCAGGCCTGGAGGCAAGCTAGCGAGCTCCTGGTGACCGGGCTTTTACCCATGGAGCTCGGCCGGGCACAGCCCAAAGAGGAAACATGGGTCCCCCTCCAATGGTCTCGCCACCTGTACGAGGGGCCAAAGGGGTCACATGGGCAATGACAGTGAGACCTGGCGAGGCGTGGTTGGAAGGAATGGCCCACCTGACCTGAACTCGAGTGGTGGTATGTTGTTGGACTTTTGTGCTCATCATGGATTGTCCATAACAAACACCATGTCAAGAATAAGGGTGTTGATATGTGCTCTTGGCACCAGGACACCCTAGGCCGTAGTTCAATGATCAACTTTGTTGTTGTTTCCTCTGACCTGCGGCCGCATGTCTTGGACACTCAGGTGAGAGGAGGGGCAGAGCTCTCCACCGACCACTACCTGGTGGTGAGTTGGCTCCAATGGTGGTGGAGGACGCTGGTCAGACCTGGTAGGCCCAAACGTATTGTGAGGGTTTGCTGGGAACATCTGGCAGAGTCCCCCGTGAGAAGGAGCTTTAACTCCCATCTCTGGCAGGGCTTTGAACACGCTCAGAGGGAGGTGGGGGACATTGAGTCTGAGTGGACCATGTTCCGTGCCTCTATTGTTGAGGCGGCTAGTCAGAGCTGTGGCAGCAAGGTTGTCGGTGCATGTCACGGCAGCAACCCTCGAACAAGCTGGTGGACACCAGCAGGGAGGGAAGCTGTCAAGCTGAAGAAGGAGTCCTATCAGGCTTTATTGACCTGTGGGACTCCAGAAGCAGCTGATAAAGCGTACTTCCGTACGGTTTCGAAGCTCTTCTGGTCCACGATCCGGCATCTCAGGAGGGGGAAGCAGTGCAGTACCAATACCATGGGCGTAGGTTTGCATAGGGACATGTCCCTACCAAGATTTTGGACCGACCTACTTGTCCCTACCAACAACCCTACTTTACAATTCAGCTTTGTTGCAGCAGTAGTGGGGTTCTGGATGGCGAATATTGACAGACAAAAACAGTTTTTATCTAAAATTTAAAATGTTTATATATCTATTTACATTTTTGGTATAATTCCTGCTGTAAGTTGGTCGCTCTGTGAGCTAGACATGTTTTAGAGTCTCTATACTCCAATTAACAATGAATCGATTACTAAATTTGTTGACATTTCAATAATCGATTATTCCGATGAATTGTTTCAGAGCAAGATAAAATGCATAANGAGGGAAGCTGTCAAGCTGAAGAAGGAGTCCTATCAGGCTTTATTGACCTGTGGGACTCCAGAAGCAGCTGATAAAGCGTACTTCCGTACGGTTTCGAAGCTCTTCTGGTCCACGATCCGGCATCTTAGGAGGGGGAAGCAGTGCAGTACCAATACCATGGGCGTAGGTTTGCATAGGGACATGTCCCTACCAAGATTTTGGACCGACCTACTTGTCCCTACCAACAACCCTACTTTACAATTCAGCTTTGTTGCAGCAGTAGTGGGGTTCTGGATGGCGAATATTGACAGACAATACTGTTTTTATCTAAAATGTAAAATGTTTATATATCTATTTACATTTTTGGTATAATTCCTGCTGTAAGTTGGTCGCTCTGTGAGCTAGACATGTTTTAGAGTCTCTATACTCCAATTAACAATTAATCGATTACTAAATTTGTTGACATTTCAATAATCGATTATTCCGATGAATTGTTTCAGAGCAAGATAAAATGCATAATATGGGTTAAATGGAGTAATTATAGCCTAGATGACTTCAAGAGTGAAATTAATGTTCTAAATATTCAGTGTCAGTTCCAGTGCTCATGTGAATACAATTAATTTATCTGGCGTCCCTTTAATCTATTCTTTTGCTTTGTTTTATGATACAGAGAGAATATTTAAAAGATAAGAGTAGGTTTTACCTCTGTGTACCTCAGCACAATTGTATATCTTCAAAAGAAAAAACAGGATAAATCCACATATAACAGACATAGTTAGACCATATTTTGTTAAATAGGCACAGATTTACTTTCTGTCTTAGTCGCTGGTAATTTCAAATGCAAACATTTTCAAAGTGGAAAAAAGTCATAATTCCTCATTCATCTTAGCCGATGATGCTCTAGTTTGTGTAGCGCTTAGAACATTTATACAAATGTAGCAAGAAATGCTGCTTTTCTCTTTAAACAAAATAGACCCTGATTTTCACAGCAAGCATAAAAAAACGAGCATGCATATTTTTGCATAAGACCAATGGCATCAGAACAACAGTACCAAAGCTGAAATCAAACCTACACCCTTGACCAACACTATTTATAATGGGGGTGGTGTGCTGCTGACCTCGACTCAGGACGTCATATGTTGGCTGGCGGGGTACTTCGAAGACCTCCGTAATCCCACCACCACGTCTTCCATTGAGCAAGCAGAGCGTGGGGGCTCCGGCTCGGGTCCTCCCATCTCTGTTGCTGAAATCACTGAAGTGGTTATAAAGCTCCTCAGCTCCCAGGGTTGGATGAGATTCACCCTGAGTACCTTAGGGCTCTGGATGTGGTGGGGCCGTGTTGGTTAACGCGGCTCAGCAACATTGCGTGGACATCAGGGGCAGTTCCCCTGGATTGGCAGACTGGGGTGGTGATCCATCTATTCATCCATTTTCTAGCACGCCTATCCTGAGTGGGGTCGCGAGGGGTGCTGGTGCCTATCTCCAGCAGTCAATGGGCGAGAGGTGGGGTATACTAGCAGTCAATGGGCGAGAGGAGGGGTACACCCTGGACAGGTCGCCAGTCCATCGCAGGGCAACACAGAGACAAACAGGACAAACAACCATTCAAACACACACTCAAACCTAAGGGGAGTGTAGAGAAGCCAATTAACCTCATGTTTTTGGACTGTGGGAGGAAGCCGGAGTACCCGGAGAGAACCCACATATGCTCAGGGAGAACATGTGAGAACATGCAAACTCCATGCAGAAAGACCCCTGGCCGGGAACCTTCTTGCTGCAAGAAGCAGCCCGGGATGGTGGTCCCTCTGAACACTGGATCAGCTCTATACCCTCAGCAGGATTCTGGAGGGTGCATGGGAGTTTGCCCAACCAGTCTACATGTGTTTTGTGGATCTGGAGAAGGCATTCGACCGTGTCCCTCAGGGGGTACTCCGGGAGTATGGAGTACCAGGCCCTTTAATAGGGACTGTTAGGTCTCTGTATGACCGGTGTCAGAGCCTGGTTTTCAGAGGGTAGTGTAAATGGGTCTTATGGGCATGCTGGTCTGACAGGGTATGCTGATCTGACAGAACACCGTCCCTCCTGTACAAACACGTAGAGGCCATAGACATTAGCTTGCCTTGCGTCGTCGACTCAGCAGCAGTTACCCTGCAAACTTTCCTCTTTGGCCTCTTTCCCACATGGGTCGACCTGCTACCAATCAGCATTTGGCTCCCTTCCAGCTGACTGATAAAGCTGGTCTAACCCCCCACTGGCAGCTGCGTGGCCACTTTCTCCTTGCTGCAACGTTTCTGGTGACATCATCACGCTAGGTTAAGCCTGGTTTATGCTCAGACACTAGGTCATCTGCGTGTGTGTCGCAGTTCCTATGCGTATTGTTTGTTCCTATTGCATTCTGTTTGGCACCTAATGGCAGAAACTCTGGCTGTAGTGCCATGCACAACGCCTGGCACACCTCGGACACCATCCCAGACACCGTACAGGACACTAATTTGTAGCTCTGTGCGACAGTCTGTTGGTTTGATCCCGAAGAGAAAACATGCATCGCCACAGCCAGTCTTCGGGGAACACTAACGGGTGAACTGTGAGTTTTTCGGCGTTGGATGAGGGGTTGTAGACGGCGAATGACCTCGTGAACTAGCCTGTGATTGTCCCTCTTGCATTGTGGAATGGAATAACATAGCACAGTCCACGCTACAAAGTAAACAATGGAGAGAACATCAGGGAAGTAAACAATGGAGAAAACATCAGGGAAGTAAACAATGGAGAGCAACATGGAAGGAAGCCAGGAAGTTGTCTGAATCTCTCACCAGAACTGCTCCATGTTTATCGAATGTAATCAGAGTTGTTTCTGCTTCTGAGATCAGAAGACTGGCGCGGTGTGTTTACGTCCATACGTTGCGTTCAATGGTATCAAGTAATTTAGCACTTCGATTTTAACGCACGCTGATTTTAACGTGGGTCGCTTGCCGAATCGTTTGACCTGGGTACATGCGCGTCTGTGAGCTGGTTCCACTGCCCCTTAAAGCCCATTGTTACTGTTTTTAAACAGGTTTTTGACCAATGGGAAAGGGGAATTTAATTCAAACATTATCCAGATTTTCAATTCCAGATTGTGTTTTTTTTTCTTTTTTTTCTCCTTTAGCAGTATCCAGTGACAGTCAGGCCGAGGTTATGAAAACCTTGCTGGAGGGACTTCCAGAGGAAAACTACGCATCCCTGCGGTACCTCATTACATTCCTGGCTAAGGTAAGAAGCCCCCCCTCCGGCCTGAGAACATCCCTTCCTCCCAGCCCCCCTCCGCCTCCTACAAACCTGTGTGTGTTTTAGGTGTCGGCCAACAGCGAGGTGAATAAGATGACCAACAGTAACCTGGCCGTGGTGTTTGGCCCCAACCTTCTGTGGGGGCGGGACAACGCCATGTCACTCAGCGCTATTGGACCCATCAACAACTTCACCAGAGCCCTGCTAGACCAGCAGCATCTGGTTTTTACCTAATGCCCCTCCCCCCCTGCTCTGAGGTCTTTTATGCCGCCCGGGAAGCCTCTGAGACCCGCCTCCTCTGCAGCATTTAACCAGGAGCTAGCCTCAGAGCCCCGCCCATTACGAAGGTACTTCTGTATCAACAGCAGCCTTTCAGTCAGACCGCCACCCCCGACGTCAGTCCGCCCTCATTTGCATCGTCCCGTCGATTAGCCCGCTGTGTTCCTGTCAGTCGGCCCGAGAGCGGAAGAAGCTTAGGAAGCGTTGATCGGAGAGCGTGAAGGCCTCCTGACGAAGGCAGCTGTGATGTCACTTCCTCGTCAGTTGGACGCTCATAGATGGTCTCTGCCCTTCCCCCGGAACCTTCCTCCCAACATGACCAAAGCTCCTCTCCGGCTGAAGTCAGAAGAGAACGGAAGCTGAGGTTTGACTCAGGTTTACCGAAATAAATCGCGAACTTGGTACTGAAATCGTGTCGACAATCTTCAGAGTGCTGTAATTAAAGGACGCCGTGCGGTAGCATCTGCGATGCTCTTCTGGACCTTCCTGTTTCAGTTTCCGTAGCAACACACCAATTAGCGACACATTTCCATCATATTTCATTATCCAGTTAAGTAAAGGATCCTGTTCCGCCTTTTTGATCGTTAAGGCTTTCACAGTCTTCCTATCCCCCCCGCCCCGCCCCCACCACCACGAGGACCAGAAATTTTTAGGCCGCATTTGTTTATTTGGTACATGTCAGTAACTGGTTCTCACATGAGATGCGCAAAGCTCCATGCTGCGCGCACGAGCGTCGTTGCTGTTTCATTCCGTTTGTTGCCTTTTCTTTTAGTTTGTTTCGCGGAGCTGGACCAAGTTTGACCGCGATGTTCTGTTCTATAGCGGGAACAGTGGACGCGTACGCCTTAGTGGAACGACCTGTCAATTCCTCGCCAAAGAAACATGGTCTAAACGTCGGGGTCGGATTCTCAACACTAAAGGTGCCAACGTATGGCTCTGCGATTTTTATTATTATTATTTAAGCATCTTATCTTTTTTCACGCTGTGTTGAATTTCTTTCTGATTTCCAAAACCGTTTTCTTTTTTTTTTGATCCCCTGACCCGGACATCCGATCCTTTCAGGAGTCGTTCGCTAGCGCTAACCTGCGTTTTTCCTCTGTGATGTCACCAAACCATCAGAAACCTTGGAGTATTCGTGACGTGACGTTGCTGTGTTATCTAAACCGTCTGAAAAAAAAACTTGGAAAAAAAAAAAACGGCAAAACATGAGAGGCTAGCTCGTCTGGAGCTAAGCCCTAAAACAAAATGGCCGTTGTTTACTCGTTGACTCCCAGTTCCATCAGTGCCATGGTGACGTGTGTGTGTGTGTGCGTAAAATGGAGTGAACATGTTTTTTTTAGATGCGTTCTTATTTGATCAAACTGTGACGTTAAAGGAACCCTAAAGTTTTCACACCCCGCTTCAAATCCCACCTTTAATAACGAACGGATCGGCTAGTCTTCTCGTCTTCCCGGCATTTTTACAGCGGACGCTTTAAAGGTGGGGAAAGAATCTCGGCTGGTCTCGGTTTTTTTTTAAGCCCCGGGGTGTGAAGACTTCTGGGAGCCACCAAAAAAAACAAAAAACAAAGTCTTACTACAAAAAAGAAGATGAAACCAAGTGGAAATCATTTCGTTGTTTTTAGAGTTTAATGAGGAAACTTACCTGATTCTGTGTGTGTTTGTGCCTTATTTGTGTCTGAGTGATTTTTATTTTTTTTTTCTCTACGTTCAGTTTCTGGCTGTAGATTAGAGCTGCGTTCAACAGAAATCATGGTTTCCATGTCGTGGGAGGAAAAAAAAAAAAAGCTCTACCTTTAAATGGAAGCTGTCTAATTACCAGTTTGGTACCAGCACTGGTTTCAGCTTCACCGTTTAGAGAAAAATAAGTGATAAAATGAACTTCCTGGACGTAGCCTCTGTTTGCATGTTCCCCCTGGGTTCCGCGACCCGCCGCCGCAGACCCCGTCATCCGTGGATCTTTGTACTGTAATCATGAAGGTGCCATGGGAGGAGATCTTCGGTTTGGACTTTAGTGATTCCAATTTCCTCCTTTACTTTTCATATCTAGTACTGTGGATCTTGGCCTTGTTTGTGTCCAATATGATGGTAAAATGCTGTATTATCCGTATAAACGACCAATAAACAAATTGTGAAACAAACCTAAATGGTGCCCTTTTATCCGTCCTTCCCTTATTCTTTGCCTGCCTTCCTTTGGTCGATTATTTCCTCCCTCCAAGTCTCTTTTTTTGTCACTTCCTGGATCCCAGAAGAAGATCCCCATTTGTTCTAGGGCT